ATATAGTAAAACATGTTAATATCAACCAGGAGTTTTATTCACACTTCATAGTCAACAAAACGTAATGCAAATTTAATACTCTGCAGTAAAATCATCTTGGTTCAAGCTGTGTATGCATTCTGAGCATGTACATTTACTGCAGAGACCTTCCCAACCACTTCAGTTTAACAGTGTTTTGCCATAATTTGAGGATGGTCACACTTATACCCAAGGTGCCAAAGTGTAAGACAGGAAATCAATAAATCTGAGGTGTGAAATCTTTGCCTGACTGTACATGTCCGTCCTTATCTCCTCCCATGAGTGATGATAATGAGATGCTGCATGTGCCACTTATTAGAGAGCTTGATAATTTGTTTTAGCAAACACAAAACTGAACCATTTTTAAATACAAATACTAAGTGAAGGGCCCTGATATTCCTTCAATTTGTGCCTTACATGTGTCAGGTCAGTTTGTTCAGTTAAATCGTTTTCTAAAAGACAGCACCAAAAGGTTTAAGATTTTCTAAGTCAGTCATAGAAGTGTTAGAGATTTTCAACATATTGTTGTATCCCCTAAATATTTGGCTGACCGTAGCAGTACTTTTACTATTGTTCTTATAGGGCTGTGATATTCAGGGGTCAACCGTTTGTTAAAATGAGCGGAATACAAGGGTTTGGGCAACAAACTGTTTAGCTGGTTTATTGCTCTTACTAGTCTCTTCTATTGCTTCTTCTAGTTCTAAGTTCATTAGTGGTTTTGAAGGAGGAGTAGCTTAACATAACGGTACAGCACATCAGAGGCAAAGTTAGAGACGTGAAGTCGTATGTCACTAAACTATGGCTTGGCGGGACCATTAGAAATTCCAGTCAAACAGAGTGGGTATGGTATGGGTGTATCGCATTGCACAGCAACTCAGACCAATCAGGCCATGGAGGGAGCTGTCCTGGGCCAACATGGTGATGAGCAACAGTTGGACGGGGCCAGCAGTATGTACCAACCACTCTGCCACTCAAGACTAGAATATGGTGGGTGCAGTGATCGAATTACAGCGCTGCTCCACTAGCTCAGCATAGAGACAGGGAGGACCAGGGCTTAATAGCATAGAGACAGGGAGGACCAGGGCTTAATAGCATAGAGACAGGGAGGACCAGGGCTTAATAGCATAGAGACAGGGAGGACCAGGGCTTAATAGCATAGAGACAGGGAGGACCAGGGCTTAATAGCATAGAGACAGGGAGGACCAGGGCTTAATAGCAGAACCAGAGCAGTGAGAGACATGGGAGTCTAACTCATTCTTCTAGCAACCTGGGCCAGTACACACCACACTGTCCAAGCTAAGCTAGCAGGGCGTTCATATGGTTACCCACACACTTCACCATAAGAACTGGTGTTTCCGAACTACGTACCACACTAGTCTCGGAATGGGTCCATGCACAACCACTGCACTATATTAGGTTTTGTTTCGCACAAGGCTTTGTTCTGCCGCACCTGACCAATGAGCAAGGCAAACTCTGCTCTATATAGGGATCTACAGGCTTAGGAATTAATAAAATATAAGACCTCAACCAATTGGAATTTTCCCTCTCAAAGGGTCACATGACTTCCTGCTAGAGTCAAGTGCAAGAAACTACTTGTCAAGTTAAAAAAGTGAAGTTCAGAATAAGAAGTCACATGTATAAAAGTGTAGTTTCAGTTGCATAAAGGATTACACAATCATCCCAGAGAATGACTGACAGTTACAAAGTCTCGGGTTACCAAATATTAGCATTCTAGGGAATCTTACCACACCCAACCACACAGCCACGAGGAGGACAGGGTAATTTCAACATGCTAAACTGAGCAGAGAAGACACAAAGACAAAGGAGTGAAAGAACCTGCAATCACGCCAGAGTACAGCATGAATAACTTAATACAAAATTAGCATCTGTGTTGCATTTCCGCATGCATACAGGTAGTTGAGCTAAATGAGAGACCCTGTGAATGTAAGACAACAAGAACAAGTAAAACATGGGGCGCTAGAATTTCACCATCCAGGTTTGTGAATGAGCAATAATCCACTCCCCAAAACTTTATCACTTTCACTTTTTTTTCATATTTAGTGTGGAGGGGGAAGGGGTAAGTGGTTAAACTGCAAGGGATGAATGTGACATGGCTGTTGGTGTTTGTATCATCAATGACTGAATCAGTTGTCAATCGTTAAATAACATGTTTTTGTGTTACATCTTCACAATGTCATTATTCATATGAGAAGCAAAATATTGTAAAAAGCCAACTACTGTCTCCCATGTGTACAATGCATTGCAGGAGTTTCAAAAATTAAGGTTTTTCTTTAGGATACTAGAAAAAGAATTAAGCCTCATCATGCATGTAAGACATAAATTGAGCTGTTGATTACATGCCAATTTTATGTAGAGATCTTTGCAGCAAGTCAATGTTAAGTTTCTGGTTAATAGATACTGACATACGTGTACCTCAATTTACCCTAGCCTACCTAGCTTTATCCATATTCATTTGTAGCTGTCAGCAGATATGCTGTTAGGAGCTTCCGTGGGTCCAGCTGTCATTTAGCTTTATCTCATCCAATCAGTCTTTCCTCAGCGGCACTTTAAAAAAGTCACGAAATTAGTTTTGTCTCACTTCACATGCTATATAAGCTTGCCTTCAGATGGTTGGCACATATCTCAGTGATAACAAGATTACTAAATTAAATGTGCCCGAGTGAGTCCCTGAAAACTGGAGTTATGCATGCATGCTTTAATTTTTTACTGACTGCCTTGTGCACTGGTGTGTCCAGAATAACATCCTTTTATTGCATTATCGATAAAAGGCCTTATACTCAGCGAACACTTTATTCCATTAGCATCCTTCAAAGTGCATCTTGGAATGCTACACATAGAGCAATTTAAAGCGTACAGTGTACAAACAAAATATGTTAGCAGAAATCACGACTCTTGACTTGGATGTTGTAACAGTTAGCTACACATTTAAGGTTCAAGCAGCCTCACCAGATATAATTTCCATTTAATCATCAACAATCATAAATTATTTATTTCGGAATCAAAAGAGAACCACAGTATCGGTTGCCAGCCATCTTGATTATATCCCAGCATCCTTTGCAGTGTTTACATGTATATGTTCTTAGTCTCAAGTCAAGTTGTTATGTCAGCGTTGTCATCGCCACATAGTCTCTGTACAGTCATGTCTATCCGGTTACAATGTACAAAGGTCAAAGTGTATGAATCGCGAGGTAGGCCAGATAAGAGCATTTCGTGATGCAAATTACGGCGCGTAGATATGCTAATGTAAAAGGAAAACTGAGGGCCAATCAAAAACCTCCATGTAGTGTCAGGACGCTCGCTTAAGTGAGCGGGAAAATCAGAAAATTTGGTCATTCAGTCACAGCCATTCAAAGGCGGTGGAGTGTGCCTGTCGATGTGAATTTTATAGAACTCATTCACCCACCACCATCCCGTTCCTCGTCATTTCCTAAGGGGTAAATTTAAGGTAGTTTCTTCATTGGTTGGCATATTTCTTGTCCAGGCCACCAGTATCCCCCATTTAAGCAATCCTAGATAAAATAATTGCCAATCTTGCCAATTTTACTGATGTAAATGGACATAAATTGGTAGTTGTTCTGAAGGATGAATTTATAAAGTGCAGTTGTTATAGTGCTTAAACATTTCAAAAGGCTATGCGGCTCCTGCTGGAGTGTTCTACATCAAGGGGATCACTTCTGCACTGAGAAATTACTTGTAAAATTACCATCATGATGCTTGTGTTTGTTTGGGTCAGATGCACCCATTTCAAGTTGGTTTGGGGCAGGTTCGCCCATTTCAAGTTGGTTTGGGGCAGGTTCGCCCATTTTGTGATCGGGCCAGGTGTGCCCATTCTTGTTTGGGGCCAGGTATGCCAATTTGTCTTTTGTATTTAGCCAGGTGCACCCATGAGCTTGTTACCTGTAATGTGTGGCCGGTATTGCCTAACAAATAAGCCATTTGCGAGTTAATTTGAATAAAATCTGGTACACTGAGTTCTTTAAATTCACGTGAACATAACAACTTGAATTCTCCATAGTAAAACCAATGTTGCTATACCTTGTGATTCAGAGGGAAGCTTTTGCTTACTTACATATGAGATGCCATGCAACAATACACTGTTCTCAATGGATAAGAATAACACAAAAGAACCAGTCCATTCCAGAGATGGTGGTCGCTATGCAAAAGCCCACCCCCAATCATGAGGTATACATGTAGCAACAGTGTCTTTAGTCTGGGGAATTCAAATTGTTACATTTCTGTGCACTCAGATAACACAGTGTACCACATTTTATTCAAATTTAAATTGCAAGTGGCTTATTTGGTATTCGGTATCCCGGCTTATATTCATTTACAATAAGACAGTTATCAGCTGTGGCGATCATTCACATGACATCTGGTATCTAAGTTGTGTTTTTATTGTGAGTCTGAGTATAATAACATTCTATTTCCCAGCTGTATATGCACTTCAACAAGATACACTAGCGAATAGGGAGGATGTATCCTCACTAAACTATTGGACACCTGATAGCCTTATTACAAATAAGGCTAGCCAAAAACCAACCACACAGCTCATTAAAAAATGTGTCTTGAGGTCATTTGTAATAAATTTTGTTTATTGTTTGCATTATAAAGAAAAGGCAAACCAAGCTCTCTTGGATAATATCATTTAGTTTGGCATCTTGATGAAAATGGAAATCATGTCATTGAAAAATGGTGAGTGTTCCTATTGGGAAATGCACTCAATTTGAGCCTTGCACAATGCATGTCATACAGCTGTTCATTTACTATATGGATTTTGTTCCCTGAAAACTATCAAAATTGCAATTTCTAAAGGTCAATGCAATAGCAGCCCCATACTTTCAGTTTCTGTACCCATATGGTTGTATAGGATTGGGATTCTTTATAAAGCAAAAAAATTGGGATCTAGTGAGGGAATATTTCCTGTCAAAACAAAGCCTGAACAAGTCTTGTTTGTGTTTCAGTCCAGCTTAGATGAAGCGACAGACCCCTGGGGTATCAAGGTAGAGCGTGTAGAGATGTGAGTATCCAATTTATTTTCATTTGTGCACGTGGATGTTCATGCCTGCAGAGTTTGTTAAGTTTGCTTTGAAGTTTTGCCAAATTGCTTCCATTCCCTTTCTTATGTTTTTTCTGTTGTATAAATTTTTTTAGCTACATGTATTTTATTTTGTTGTATTAATGTATATTTGAACTCGTACACTTCTGTTTGTCCTTTATTTGTTCATTGTGGAGTTCAAGGTGTCATTTATGAAGTTTGCTATTGATCAGATTTTATTTTGGATACTTGTAAGATCTTGACAGCTGTGGCTTTTATCTTCTATATTACATGTACATGTATTTATAAGAACTGTTACTCATAATCCACGGTATTAAATATTTCCCGGATGCAAGTTTTGAGTGTGACAGTGAAAAATGGTCTTCAAGCATGCATATTTTCATTTAAATCATGGAGTCAATCCTCTTAAAGTAAACTGTAAAGATTATTGTATTTAAAATAGTATACTGTCCGCACATTCCATACATTTGCACAGCAGCAAGATAATGTACATGTAGAGTGCAGAAACGTACATTAGTGGCTGCAGTGCGGTGCTCGCCTCTTACCATGCCTCTGTAGTCTTGGATTTGATTCTCAACCTGGGCCATATGTGACACGGGTTGTTCCTTCCCTCCTATGCCATCAGGATTTTTCTCAAAAAAATTTCTTTCCTCCTCAAAAATCATCAAGTAAAGATCTCCAGCTTTTCCCACTGAGTAGGCATGTGGTGGGTCAATTGGCAGCTGCCTGAGGCACCTTTATACATGTACATGTATTTGGCTGACCACATTACATCGTACTGTACTTTAATTTAAAATCTTTATTGTACAATGCATCATTTGATCAAAATATTGTCTAAAATATGTTAATAATTAAATTATGACTGACTAAATTACACTATTGAGCAAAAAGACTACAGCAGGGACATATTCCTCAATGATCACAGATTTTGGGATGGACAGTAAAATACCAAGCCACCAAAATAAGGATACACAAATGCTTTTGTTGTTTACCTTTCCCCTTCTTGACTGCTGATAAAATGTCCCTTGAGCCAAACATGGATATACATTTGTCTAGGGATCTAAATGTAAAAATTTACACACATGCACATGTAGCTCTGGCCAAAAGGTAAATTTGATTAAAATGAATTGTATTTAAAACAGACTAACATGTGCGATTAAATTGCAAGGTAATGGACCATGCTGTCAGAAGTGGACATTAATGTCTATTTTACACAACATACAGAGGCTGATTACACAATGGGGCATGTTCGTACATTCTGTACATGTAGAGTTCTCATAACTTAATGAGCTTGGACAGTACATGTATGCTGTGCATCGTGCACAGAGGGACTGTTTGAAGAAAATCAATGTTTCGCCTCGGGGAAAAATTGATTCTGATAAGTCGGTGGTTGTGGGAAATTTTAACAGAAAACACTTGGGATTTGAAATGTCTGATTTGTGAGTCATATTCTCTGTGGGTCTCTCTAAGCAAAGAGGGGAGCAGTTTGCCTGATTAATTTAAAGGGGTCGGTATGATGCATTAATATGAGAGTGAATCCCATGTTTGCTAAAAAACATGGGATTTGATTTATAACCTTTGAATAAAAACTATGGTGTTTGCCACTTGAAAAAACATCCCCGTGATCTTCAAAATGATGTTGAGCTTGGAAATATTTCTGCAAGGTTGGAGTTTTTCAAATTGATAATGAATTTTTGCAAAAAAAATTGACCACAGACATCAGTGACAGAATTTGTTCAGAACATAATTTTTGTTCCAGTGATGTACCAAATGAAAAAATGTATTATCATTGAATTTGAGGTTGTTTGTGTGTACCAATATTGTTTGGGGCAAATATCTAAATTAAGTCCATTCAAAGCATATACCTGAATTTATTATTACTTATTTCACTACAGTGCACACATGTATCAGCCACTGCTGTCAAGATTCCCAACCCTCACCTCTTTTGTTTTTCTTTGTATTAGATAGTTCTAGTGCTCCTAATCACATTTTTCCCTAGCTGATTGTCTATTATTGACCTTTTTCCAGGGTTAGGTTTCTGAGAAAGGCTGTCAGTTGAGGCTAGATACAAGTCTATAAACTAATGCCATTAGGGATGGCCTCATCAAACCTCTCCAACATTTAATTCTGGGCTATCTGCCCCGAGCTGAAGTTCACCCGCAATCAGTGAAAGAAAGACAAGCAGGTTCTTGCATGCGTTCTGCGTGTACGCAAAGACTATACACGCTAGAATAAGTTAGTTACATGTACTCAGCGTGCTCCACATCAAACGCGCATATACTTGCCCGCCTCATGGCATGCCTATGTAGTGAGTACCAAAAAAAACCATGCCTTCTTTTGTTCCACTCGGAGTGAATAAGCGGCTGAAAACCAGAAATTACATTTTACGATATTACATGTATATCGACCCTATGGCAAATCATTACAAACTGAAACCATTTAGTCTACCAGCAACTGTGATTTTGATACTCAAACAAATAAAACAAATTGACATAAAATGAACTAAATCAATGGAATTTCATGCGTGATCTTTTTCATCTTTGTACTCTGGTCTAACAATCTGAGAAACTATATTCTGTGTTTCAGTAAGGATGTACGTCTGCCGGTGCAGCTTCAGCGTGCCATGGCAGCAGAGGCAGAGGCAGCAAGGGAGGCCAGGGCAAAGGTCAGATTCTCATCAATATCACATGAATTTAGAGTATAAATTGGGAGTTAATAATTCAACTTTCTGCTAAGGTCACATAGAATGTTGGTCATGAAGGTTAATGTAAGAAACATTCAGGCCCTATGTACAGTAGTGTCTGATTGAAAACGTGAGTGCAGTGACCTTTGTGTACATCTATGCTGCTGTTTTGAATAATATCATTTTAATTAAACAAGGTGACTTCAATTCTACAGTATAGCGTGGCTTGTACATGTTGGTACTTCAAAATTACTAGCCCCTGGATTTTGGTCTATAGCAGTGTAGTTTACGCAGGGTTGCGCTGCTGGGTGCTCAGCTCGACATGTACGACATAACAACAGGGTCTCACTTGTGACGAATAAAACATCAGAGGGATAAACCAGAGAAATGGGTCCAGCAGCTTCAGATTTGCTGATTTATTGTTATTTGGATTTAATTCGAATCACGTCAATTCTGATCCCCTCAGTCGCAGGGGAGGAGGCAACCAATGCTGCACCAGCTGGCTTGGCTTAGGGTTGACAAGACGCAATTACAAACCACCTTCTTAAGATAAGACAAACTTTATCAAAATCCAAAACTGGAAAATTACATTGCTGTCATCGCTCATTTAAGCAAACAATTTCACATAAACGTAAACAAAATAAATAAGATAATTTCCAACCCAGTTTTAAAGAAGAATACCCAAAAAATGAAAACCTAAAAATTAAATTAAAAATTCAATAATCGTCCAAAAAAAATACACGCAAATAAGCACTCCTTATTTTTTAAGTACTTCTTAACAGAAAACAGTCCATCAGATAAAAATCATCTTTTAAAATTTTCATTAAAACACTTTATGGCCCTTCCTGTAAAAAAAGATATCGGTTTGTGTGCGCAGCCACTGGGCTCAGTCTACCGCTGCTTGGCATAATATTAACCTCAAACCGACTGTGAAAAGGATGACCAGCATCTCCCCACACCAGCTGAAGCTTACCATATAGCAGTTGACCGTAGACTGTGTCCACCCACGGCAAGCAAACACAGATTATCCTACTAGCACGTTCGGCAATGTCATTGATTATCTGTTTCACTTTCTTATCCGCATTACCAGCCCAACATATCAGACAGTAGGGACAGACAGTAGGACTACAACTGTATTATAGAATGTCATTTTAAGTTCCTTTCTGACATTAAACGAATTCAGTTTCCTAGGCAGTACATTCTGGAGTTCAGTTTCTTCCCCAAATGACTAACATGATTACTCCAGTTCAACTCATTATCAAAAACAACTCATTAACGCGTTCTATTTCACATCCATCAATTAATACCAGGTCCGGCACCACGTTATAGACTTTGCAAAAGTCAACCAACATTTCTTTTGTCTTTGTCACATTCAATACCAAGAAGTTGTTCTGCAGTATTCTACAAATCTACCAATTTGCTCTATATAAATAGACTCATTATTTTTGTATTAAACCGATAAGGGCGGTATCATCTGCATATTTTACAAATGGACAGCTCACATCCGTGGAACAAAAGTCTGCAGTATACTTAGTAAAAAGAAATTGTGCTAAAACTGTACCCTGTGGAGCTCCAGTACTAGAAACAATAACATCTAAATTGATGGAATTATTAAGACGAACAAAATGTTAACGACAAGTCAACTAATTTAAAATGAATTTAACCACAGTATGGGGAACAACTGACATATCAAGTAATTACTGTGCCAAAACATGGAGTTGCATTGTATTGAAAGCAGAAGAAAAATTGAAATACATAATACGAGCAGAATGTTGTTATGAGTATTCCTGGGATAAGGCCCCCCAAAAAAGTTTCCAGTTTCCTGTCAGCGTGCACATTGCCGTAGACCTGTGCATTGGCAAAATTAAAAGTTTTTCATTGGTATAACACAACGTCCAAATGCTGCCAAACTTGCTTGATTGTCTGGAATCTTGCTACTGCGTAGTTTAAACGTGTTTTAGATGGGGTGCATTTGTACGGTAAAGGAGTCCCTCTAGGGTTGCATACATTTAGTAGGGCACTCTTTTTCAGATGACATCATTTAAGAATTACATGTATACATGTACATCTTAGAACCAGACAAATAAGATGGTCTAATGTCCTCTGTACATCTACAAACTGAAAATGCTTGAAACGGGTGCATGGGTGGGTGGTTGGGTTGGTTTGAAGGCGGTGTGATTTTTGGGCTTTCGTTTAACGTAAGTTTTTCACTGTGTTAGAAACCAAGTTTGGTCCTTCATTGTTTGTAGTTGCTTTTCAAACTGTTGCAGACGTTACTGGTTCTGTTTAAGTATCGTTAAGTTGTATCGTTTTCTGATATTTTCATCTCCTTTTTCATACCACTGTATACTCCCATTACGTTAGTTAGCTAGGCTGGCCACCATGGCTGGTCGCTGCTAGCTGTACCACTGTTCGAGATCACTCAACTGATCAGTTGGCTGGCTCTTCAAAAGCAACCCCAGTATCTGAGCCTTTCAGTAACATAGCTCGTGACAATGGAATAGCTTTTAAAGCTGAGGACAAGGTTTCTGTTCAGTCTTATGTAAATGCAATCACTCTTTCTGGTATGAACCCTCGGGATATAGTCTCAGCCTCTTGCATATCAAATGGACACGTGGCCGTCTATCTGAACTCTAGAGAAGCGGTTGAAGAAGCTGTCGTGTTCGGGCTGTAACATAATGATTCCTTCATCACCATTACCCCCCTTGGTTCAACCTACTGAGAGACGTGCTGTCTAATGTCTACCCTGAACTACCCAATGCAGTCATTGTGCGAAACCTGTCAGGTTTCTGTAAACCAGTATCAGCAATCAAACCCATACCGCTAGGGATAAAAGACAAAGACTTGTCTTATGTCATGTCTTTCAGATGCCAAGTACATGTCATCATAGGAACAAATGTCGCCATACCTGATCACATGAACATTACTCACGCAGGAGTAAACTACAGAGTGTTTATCTCCAACAAGTCTGTCAGATGTTTCAACTGTGGAGAGAATGGCCATATAAGTAAAAACTGCAAAAAACCAAAAATAGTCAGAAACTTCCACATCTGAGGCCAACACCGAACAATTCAACCCTTTGAATCCTCCCCCCAATTCATGCACAGCAAAAAATCTGATCCCAAACACCCACCAAAAAACAGTACTCACCACCCTACCGATAACAATCAGTCTTCAATCACTGCAAACAGAATCGCAGACACTCGTGAGCCTCAAGGGCCATCTACCAAACTGGACGGTCCGCCTCCTACAGCAAAATCTCCAGAAAGGCAAGAGGAGGAAAAGAGAACACATGTACGACCAAACAAACCACCACCCCAAAACATACTGCCTCCTCTGGGCAATCTACAACACCATCCTCACATGAGTCCAATAGCACTGACATTCCTTCTATCTGGGGTTCACCCCCAACACCCTCCAGAGTTTCACCCCCTCTCTTCACTGAGGTAGTAGCTAAAAGGAAACACAAGCCATCTAAACCAAAAGAGGACATTCCTAATCCTCTAGTGCCACTCAAGTCACCCTCTCCACAACGAAAATTGAGAAAACAAATTGAAGTGATCCACCTCAAATTGATACAGAGGAAAATATTACCCAGGTCCTCGATGACAGTCAAATGTCTTTGGAGTCACAAACACAGCCATCTCAACTGGAAATGGAAAGTGACCAAGGGTCAATTTCCTCCGACTGGAGTCAACTTACTCAAGATGATGACGGGCCGGTGAGTGTAAATCTCTCAAAAGGGCCTTTGAAAAAGGAGGAGATTGCCGATTTTCTCAAGTGCGTCAAGTCTCGTCGGAAACCGCTCGACGTTGCTAGGAAATTCACTAACGATATCCCTGATCTAGTCAAACAGCTAAAACCACTTAAAAACAGCTCCCAGCTGACGAAGAACATGCAACAGAGAATTCGCAAACTTGTCAGGAACCTTGATCCAACTGATCCCATTCATCTCATTCCATGATACTTTTTTCTTGTCCTCTTTTTCACGTGACACTCTCCTCAGCAATGCTTAATACAGGGGGGTGTTCGACGCTAAATCTGAACAAGTCACCTGGTCTGGATGGACTAACCACCGAGTTCTATCAGATTTTTTGGAACATCTTAAAGGATGATCTAATGGCAGTCCTCAATGATTCTGTCTCCTCTGGACTCCTACCTGTCTCCTGCTGAAGGGGAGTTATTACCCTCCTTCCAAAGACAGGAGATTTGTTAGACATCTCTAATTGGCGCCCAGTTTCTCTACTTAACACAGACTACAAAATCTTTGCCCAAATCATTGCCAATCGGCTAAAAAATGTCATCGGAAGCATCGTTCATCCAGACCAAAGCTATACTGTTCCTAGTCGATCTATTCATGATAACATCATCTTAATAAAAGACATTCTTATGTACGCCAACTCTCATGATGTTCCCCTTGTGGTTTTAAATCTTGTTAAAAAAAAGGCTTTTGATAATGTTGATCATAATTATTTGTTTACAGTAATTATGAAAACCCTGGGCTTTGGA